TTTTTTTTTTTTTTTTTTTTATATTTCTTTTGATTTACGATCACGTTAATTGAACTCCTAAGGTAGCAAAATTCCTTGTCGAGTAAGTTCCGACCCGTACGAAAGGCGTAACGATTTGGGCACTGTCTCGGAGAGAGGCTTGGTGAAATAGACATGTCTGTGAAGATGCGGACTACCTGCACCTGGACAGAAAGACCCCATGAAGCTTCACTATTTCCTAGGATTGGCTTTGAGCCTTTCCTGCGCAGCTTAGGTGGAGGGCGAAGAAGGCTCCCTTCCACGGGCCCAAGCCATCAGTGAGATACCACTCTAGAAGAGTTAGAATTCTAACCTTGTGTAAGGACTTACTGACAAGGAAATATTAGCTATTTGTATATTTGCTGACCATTCATAATTTTGAATTTCTATTTAATTTTTTAATAAATTTTTAAAAATTTGCTTTTAAAAAGTAAAATTTAAAGTTTTGTGAAATTAAAGCTATTTTAGAAAGATTAGAGAGAATAAAGCAATTTATTAAAATTTAAACTTTAAAGAAGAATAAAGGTTTATGGGTATTATTTTTATGATTTATCCTAAAAAAAATTAATTTTCCAATTCTGAAATGTTATATTCCACGTCATAATTTCCAGTAACGCAACCATTTCAGACTCAGTTTTTTTATTAATAATAATAATAATTATTATTTAAATCTATATATTTCTGAAGATTACCGGCTGGCAGTTCTTGGACTATAAATACCTGTCAACTAGTTTTCTCTGCAATTCCCGATCTCATTTCCCTCACTGATCCTTTAACTGAAACGAAAATGCCGAAGAAGGAGTTGTTGGAGCATCATCAAGAGGATGCAGATGGCCCCAACGCTAAACCACTATCTCGCGATGATTTTCCTCCAGACTTCTTCTTTGGCGTTGCCACTTCCGCTTATCAGGTTCCTTTTTACTTGTTCAAGAACAGCAATGTCAACAATAGCTTGCATTTCTTTCAATGTCTGCATGTTCATTTATTTTCTCGTTGCTTTCGCCTTGTGATTTCGTATTGCGCTATTCGTTTATCTCTCTTGTATTTTGGAATTTGTTCTGTTTGGTTGATTTAATTTGAATGAATCGATTGCATGAATCGCTATGTTTTAAGTATTCTTATAGGTTTTAACATTTTCGATTCGTTTTTGTTATTTTCGATTTCTGCGCTTCATTGCGACTCCTGAAGCGTTCTGATTTTCCTGATCTCTGATTGTTCGTTTCTTCCTCTTTTATAAATCTCGATTTCGAATTTGATAAAAATACCTTTCGCCGATCGGCTCTTTCTTGCTACCTCCGATCTGTAAAATGGAAATTTGCGTGGTTTTCATTCACAGAGTATTTCCTCCTTCCAAATCGTACTGTTTCTATGTTAGGCGTTGCTTAATTTCCTTTCAGCTATACGATAGGAGCTAGATTTTAAAAGTCCTCAATAGTGAGAAAGTTTGATTTCCTCTTTTATCGCTACTTTCATATGCTTTCATTTTCTGAATGTTTTTTAAGATTTATTTTTCCAATAATAATTACAAATATAATATATTTTTTAAAAAATAATTCCAAATATCTATTAAAAATAATTTTAAATAGAACTTTATTTTTTAAACTTATAAATCATTGATCAACTAAAAAAAATAGTAATCAAGATGTGTAGTAATTAATTAACGTAAATTTATGATTAATTATAGCCGTAATAATCAGTTTTACTACATATTTTTTTACTCCAAAGACAATACTTAGGGTGAGGGATCTGAATCATCGTCTTAATGATAGTCAATTATTTACATAAAAATGTTGTTTACTTAAATTTTACAGTATATTTAAACCTTTCACTTCTCTCATTATAATATTTTATTTGTATTTTTGAAATTTTCTTATAGAAAAAGCAATTATGATGAAGAATAATATACTTTATTTGAAAAATTAATTATGAGTATAATTTTAAACTACGTTAACTTCTCTTTTTATATTTGTGGAATTTTTTTTAAAATTTACCATCAATAATTATTTTCAAACGTTAAGATAAAAGTGCAACGCATGTGAGCATTGACTAGTTTCGCCAAGGGAGTGCTTTGGTGATTGCAGTGAGCACATTGATTAATATGGTTGAATAATACAAACATTGGTTATTAAATCAGTTTGTGGCCATCCCTTTGATGTGAAAGGCTGATTAAGAATAAAAAGAGGTCAGTGATTAAAGGATTCTATACTGAACTTGCAAGAAGATTAAACGTTTTGTCTCTCACGTCTGTGGGCTTGAGATCGTTTCTAAAATCAAAGTAATATATTAAAATATATAAAATCATTATTTGTGAAGAAGATTACATTCCTTTAGCATGCATTGCAACGGTTTAATAAAATGTTGGAATCAAAATTGTTCTCTTACTTATTCTTTTATTAATTAGTTAATTAATTAAATCAGACATAGTCATAGAAAAATCTCACTATAGATAATTAAAAAATCATAAATTTGATTTTTCAGGTTGAAGGAGCTGCCAAGGAGGGAGGTAGAGGTCCTAGCATCTGGGATGAATTTTCACATATTAAGGGTAGCCATTGATCTTTAATCTTGAAGTTCGGTCATCCCTTGAAATTTCTCTAACCAGATAGCTAAGTTGATTTTCTTGTGGTTAAACTTATTCTGTTTCTACCATGTTTGCAGGAAATATTCTTGATGGTGGCAATGGCGATGTAGCTGTGGATCAATATCACAGATACGAGGTTGGTCAACTTCACTCTTAAGAGTGTTCACCAGTTATTTAATTTCCTTATATAAAATGAAAATTTGTGCCTTTGATTGTTGTTCATGACAACCTAATTTTGCAATTCTGAGCTCTTACTTCTTGCCTTCTTAGAGATTGTTTCTGCTAG